GGTTCATGGTGTGACAATAGCATCACTTTCTGTCAGGTTAATTCATTTCTTTTAGGACTAACAAAGCGAATTTTTGTATCCTAAACCTGCAATGCAATCTGGTGCTTGGCAGCTTTCTGAAAATTCCTCTTTGCCCTCAGGCCTCCCCATGAGTACAGAAGGTATAGTCACATATTATGACAATCCAGCAGGTGACCTAAGACCAGACCGCGTACTGCTGTGACAAGGAAGAAGGAGCAGACCCAGGGCTGAGAGCCCAGGAAAAACACACTGACTCTCACCTGCTACAGCTCACAAGGTCTGAGCCAGTCCCAGCCAGTCACGTGGCCACAGGCTTCACCTCCAGTTAGAGATATGATTTCCTTACCAGCCCAGAAAGACAGTGAGTCTGTGAAAATCATGTTGGCCTCTTTCTGGAAGGTCCTCTGCTGAGCAAGAAGATGACTTTGCAAAATCTTATCTGTGCAACTAGTATTTGCTTGGACCTGGGTCAGTGGGCTTTTTCAAACTTTGGAACAATGCACGCCATCAGCTACAGCCTTTGGGGTTTAGGGGTGAGCTGTTATGGACGGGAACACCCAATGAAGTTGTTTCTGCGTTGGTCCCTATACATTGAGGCCTGAGGTCGGGGGTCCACTCTGGTCTCACCTAACGCCCTGTGAAGGCCATGGTGTTGAACTGGAAAGAGCACTGAGCTATCCTGAAGGCGACACAGCCCCGTAAACAACCTTGAATAGCAGGTTGGTCAGGACAGGAAGGAGCGAGGCAGATGCTGCTTCTCACCTCCCACTCTGCCCACCCCCAGGGAACAGGTCTAAGCTTTACCAGCCTGGGGTGGCAAAGCAGCAAAGTCTGGGCATAGCTGAGTTCTGCAGTAGCTGAGCACTGGAAGCTCAGCTTAGAAGAGGCTGAACTAAAAGGGTTGCGCCCCTCACATCCAAATGAATACAGCAAGTAGGAAGGGCAGGAAGAGAGGGAGGTCTGCAGTAGGACCCCTGCTCTGCTGCTGATCAGTCAGCGCTCCCGGCTGTCTTCCTGCTTTTCTAAGCTCAGGCCAACTTCCTCGACTTGTTACTGTCACCACTGGGGCAGTCCTAGCAGCCTTCCTGCCAGCCGCTCCCTCGACTCCCACATCTATAGTCTCGCTGATCCAGGGGCTCCCCTTGATTTTCACTGCACTGCAGGTGGAAACAAGTCGCAGTGTTTGTTTAAGATCTACTCCCTACCAACTATGGTGATGGCACACAGGTGATGTGGTGATGGGAAGCCCATGGGGATTACAACTGAGATGGAAAAAGGCACAAAATGATGCAAAAATAAACTATATTGTTTAAAAAATACAAAAAAAAAAAAAAGCTATTCCCTACTTGCTAGCTTTCAAGAATAGAGTTGTGAAGAGTGGAACTCCTATTTGCTTTTCCCTATCCCATGTTGCAACAATTGCAGCTTTGGAAGCAGAGAGCTGGGAGCTATGTGTGAGGCACCATGGGAGTGCTTCATGCATATTATTTCATATAATCCTCACAGAAACCTACCAGGAACACATCTTTATTTCTGGATAAGGATGCCAAGGCCCAGAAAGGTCTTAACTTTCTGGGCCTTGGCATCCTTATCCAGAAATAAAGATGTACACGATACAGCTGCAGGGCTCAAGGCCAGGTGGTCTGATCCTACAGCAGGGGCACTCGACGGCATGAGGAAGAGAAACCCCCTTATTGCTTTTTACTATTGCTTCTAATAATATTAGAAATATATGTTACAATTTATTAGAAATAAGCAAACCAACTGAGGGTCAGCTCACGTTCTATTATCACCAAGTATAGTCAAATTTCTTGATGCAGTGATGAAATGTTTTCCTTATTTAGGTGGACTTGACACCATCACCCTCTGAGGCAGGACTTTGGGTCTGTATAAGCTGCCTGACACCCAAGCAGCTGTGTTTACGTCTGAGAGGAACTCAACTACAACAGTGAGAAAGGCAGAACTAAAAGAGAACCCCGGTTTCTTTCTTTTAATCCTAGCGGGAAAACATGCATAAAAATGACCATTTTAAACAAGCAATGCAGACATTGGGTACGTTCACAGTGCTGTTCAGCCAACACCAGGACCCTATCCAAAGCATCTCGCCCAAAACAGAAGCTCATTACACATAAACTTATTCCTATTCTCCTCTTCGACCAGCCCCTGGTCACATCTGTTCCTCTTTCTGGCTCCATGAATTTGCCTATTTTAGCTATTTCATATAAGCGGAATCATACACTATTTGTGTCTCTTTGTGTCTGACTTTTTTCACCTAGAATAAAGGTCTCAGGGCTCAGGAATCCTGGAGCCCTGTCAGAGTTTTACTCCTTTTTAAGGTTTAATGATGTTTCACTCTATGTCGGAACTAGGGTTTTTAACAATAGCTTTGAGACATTACATGCAGAGAACCTCTAGTTAAGGTTGGTATGAGGCTTTGGGTTTTCTAACAGCTGAAAGAATCCTGACAGGTAGAAACAACTCAGATTACTCTGTGAACCTGTAGGGAAGGCAAAAGAACAACAGATATTTGGAAAGAGTGGCTCACCAGCATGTTGGGAAATTTTCCAGAATTTTCCCGGCATCTGTACATGTGTGTAAATCCATATTTATATATCTGAGCCCATGTGTAACCACACAAGACTGAGCCCATATTTTTGCACCTTTTCACCCTGTTTATCTTGATAATGGACATGAATGGTTATTCAAGTATTTAACGTTTTTGGCCACAGGAAAGAATACTGAATTGAGTGAGACATTGTGCCTGTGGGGGGAAGGTTACAGGCTGATGTTTCTTTTCAAAACACATTTTCATAATCCTCATTGCAGTTACAAAGAATCAAGCCTAGTTAAGGAAAAATAAAACATTTATTTCACAAACAAACCTCTCTCCAGTTTTGACAGGCATCATTAAGGGTGGGCGGATAAAGCTTTATTCATATGTGCAAGTTTAGACAGAAGAAGCAGCATGTCCAAAAAGAAAAAAATCAATAATTATTAACCTGCAGTGAAAACAATTTACTTTTATTAACATATATTTATTTGTATATATTTTATATCATTGTTCATTTTTGTACAAAGTTTCTTTTCTTTCCTTAGATGTAGTCCCTGGAGAATTTCCACCACCGATTCACCCTTGCACCCTCTCCACAGTCCATTATGCTCTTCCCACCCTTCTCTGGCTCCCTTTTCCCACCTCTCTCTCCCCTACAGAATATCACTGATTTACAGGTTTTTTCCCCCCCTAGATCTTCTATATTCCTCCTATAAGTGAAACCATTTGGTATTTCTTTTTTTCCTTCCAGCTTACTTCATTGACCATAATCCCTTCTAGCTTCATTCATATTGCTGCAAATGGCATTAGACTATCTTTTTTGATTGCCGAGTAGTATTCCATTGTGTGTGTATATACATATATATACACACACCACATTTTCTTGATCCAGTCATCTATTTTTGGGCTTTTGGGTTGATTGCACATCTTTCCTATTGTAAATAGTGCTGCAATAAACATAGGGGTACAGGAATCCTTTTGGAAACAATTTAGTTTTTAATAAGCACCAGGACAGTAGGTTTGACTGACCTGAAGGATTATGGGAAAATGGGAACATTTTAGTTCATATCTATAAGAAAAGGGGAACTGCAGAAATACGTGAGCAGACCCCAGAACTAGTACATCTTAGAGAAAAGCAAGAGTAAGGAAAAAGAAAAATCAAGAATATTTTTGCTCAAGGGTCCCTAATAAAAAGTTATTTTAAAAGAATGATTACACAAAGATCAAAATTCTTCTCTGTGCTATTGAAAGTGGAGTGGACAGCATGGGAAGTCACTTAAGCTGTAAACATATAGGAAAATGCTCTCACCGGAAGCATGTAGAGAGCTTCCTACAACTATTATTTTACAAAGCACATTATGAAATTCTAATTTTCTGTTTGTTCCCTTTTCTGGTCCCTAATGATGCACATTCTGGAAGAGGACAAAGCCCTTCAGAGATCCATCAATCCAACCCTTTCATTTCACAAATAAAGGCGGGTCAGCAGCTAGCCCACAGCGGCACTTGTCCTCGGTGGCAGAGACTGGACTAAAACCAGCTCCTCGTGGCCCCATGAGTGCCTTCCTCAGGACCACGTGACGTCAGCCACCCTCCACCCCGGCTCCCACCTGCACTTGGTGGTCCCCCCATCGTGGATGGGGCAGAAAGACAATCAGAAAAGGATCGGGCCACTCTGACACTGAGCAGAGGTGACAACACGCAGGTCCTACTCTGTTCTAAGTTGAAAAAGTCAAACAAAGGTTGCGATGAGAGGCTGTGGATCCCCTGGGAGAACGTCAGGCGGGGGCAGCACTCACGCACCTTCAGCAGCTCTGCAGACAGTCCTGGCTGCAGATGACTCACAGGGAAACAGCTTCCGCTGCAACACTAGCCTGGGTCCCTGCTCATGGCTTGCCTCTGGGCTGCAACAGGAGGAATTGCCTCCAAATCCACAGGCCCCACCTTTCCCACACCCCTACTGCTGACTCCATCTCACTCCTTGGCATATGCGAAACATTCCACTCTGGGAGCCCATGTTTCTGGGTGATAATACTGGGGGTGCTTTATGGCAACATTCATGGGCGATACCTCAAGAGGGAGGGAGGGGAGCTCTTTGGGGTCATTTTCTTCTGCATGTCCTTTAACAATAAAATGCAGAAAGTGAAAATAAAAGTAACCTATTTGTAAAGTATCAATCGAACAAGTTTTTGCTCAAGATGAGACAAGGAATATGAACTGAGGAATATGTCCTATTTGTGAAACATTAAAACGGGGAAAATTTGAAACTGCCCATCTTAAGTTTCCGAAACATCACCAAGCATCACCGTTGGAGAATCTGTCCTGCAGAAATGTATCTTTCCTGTGCTCCTTGGGATTCTGCAGGAGTGAAGCTCTCTTTCATTTAAATGTTTCCTAGAAGTGGCTTTCTCAAGCGACAGCCTTTGCCCTCTCAGGCAGTGGCGTGCTGGTGCTGCTGCACCTGACTTCTGGTCTCTTTCCAGATATTTTGTTGTGTCCTATATACAGACTCCTGAAAAATTCTTTCTACTTGGGTATGAAAGCCGCGACTCTCTTCTTCCAGGGCATTGATGGTTCTCAGGATGAAGGGGGTCCTTTCTCGGGGCAGAGGGCTGCTGCGGGGCCGCATGGGGATGACGGAGTTGTATTTGTGCTGCCTGTTGACAGAGTTCATCAGGGACGTGTAGAACTGGAACTTACACCAGGTGTCTCGTAAAAAGTTTTCAGTCAGCAATAAAATTGTCCAGGCAGATCCATTCACAGCATCATCTAAATTCTGCAAAAGCTGTCTGCCACATGGCATCTCGGCAAAGATTATCCCAGGCCTGATGCCAAAGTCGTTCTGCAGCAGGTCCTGGACTCGGAGGGCTTCTCTGGTGTCCTCTTCCGCGTGCAGGATCACAAATTTGAAGAACACCTCCTCCCCCTCCTCTCCGGGGGGGTCTTCCACGCCCCCCAATCCCTCCTGGCCTCCTGGTGGCCCTGCTGTTGTGGTGCTGAGCTCAGAGGTGTCACACAAGGAGATTTTTTTAGGGGCCTTGGAATCTGATCCATGACTTCTTTTGCTTGTATCCACACTGTGGCTTTTACCCCAGGAGAGAGCGAGCGAGCAGGGATCGACTTTGGATTTCCCAATGCCCATTATCAACATCCGAGTCAGGAGAGGAAGCTTTATTTATTTGTCAGCATTTCTTTTACTCTAAAAGGAGATACAACAAAGCAGAATATTGTGAACTTAATCAAAATGGAAACTTTTATTCAATCTGAAAAGCTCAAAAAGATGATAGTGCGAAGGTCCTGAGGAGGAGCTGCCAGACACATCCCATGGAAACGAAACCGTCTTGATTGCTGAGCTTCACGAGGGAAACCGCCGGCAGCCTAGGGTAAGCTAAAGGGAAGAGGGAACTTTTGGAAATTTCCATTGGCATTCTGTTAGTGTGCTGCGCCTCAAGGTGAAGATGGATTACTTTGGCACTCTGGGGTGCCATCAAACTCCATCCTTTCCTCTGCTATTAAATTATTGTGTAGACTAGAAGCAGGGAAGTGTACAGAACAGAATTCAGATATTAACCATAAAGGTTACCTTTGTATCAGACAGACAGGAGACAGTACCGGTGAGCAAAAGATGGCCAGCAGCAGCTCCAGTGGGGGTGTGGGGAGGTGGTTCAAGCGAAGGTGGGAAAAAGCAAATAGGTCGAAGCCCAGGACTCACCTTTCAAAGCTTTTCCCTTTGTCTGGGGTCAGGCATTTGCATCGTGGTGGGTGGAGTAATTGTATTAATGGTTGTAAAAAATAAGTCATGCTTTTCCCAGCTAATTCTGGAGCCACTAAATAAAAACACTTAGACATATGGATAAGAGAAATTTAAAGACCAAGATATGTGCTTTTCTCCAGGAAAATAAACATTTGTTCTATCTAATAGTCAATTCTTTTGTTTAAAAAGCTCATAGAGAGTGAACAAATTGTGCCCTGGGAGGCTGAACTTCTTCTTTCTTTTTGTTTTCTTTCTTGCTTTTAACTTGATACAATGGCCTCCTCACCTCTGCCTTTCAGGAAAGATATGAGACCAGAGCCACCAATTTCCATGGACCACAGTCCAGCTGAGCTGATCATATCCCCAAAGGCAACACAAAGCGGAAAACTCATTCAAATACAGTCTTCTGACTGAATTTAGGAAGGGAAAACCAAAAGATATGAGATTAAGAAGTTAGGGCAGTCCAGAATTGAGTATGATGGGGAAGAATCATTGTGTAGGCCAGAGACAGAGGGGTGGAGGGAGGCAAGAATTCCCCAAAGACAAAGTGGAGAACAGAACAGGCGGATTTATTGAAATACACTGCTGAGAGAAGCAGCTGGCAAGCTGGGAGAAGTCTGCGCATAAAGGGCTTGGGGATGCCTTTTATAAACTGTTTCATGGGCTTTCATGACAGAGAGTCAGGTTGGGCCAGTTAGTGCTGTCTGGTCCTGGGCACTGACTTTTGACACAGAATGTGCCCTGGCCCTGCTTCTGCAGTCATGGTCAAAAAGCTCAGTCTCCTGGCCTGATGTCCATGACAATCTTGTCCATTCAGGCCTCCTAAGCTTTCCTGCTGGGCAAGAGGTGGGGGTTAGTTTTCACCTTATTAAATGATACCCCAACAGCAGCCTCTTTGTAACTAGGCAAAAGAGGTTCCTGCAGAATCCCCATGGGAAGCAGGTGCCACATGAAAACATAAGCCACGCAAGTGTGCATGCTTGGCAAGTGTGTGAAAGATGACAGGAAATATGAAAGAACATGCAGAGGAATCATAGCTTACAAAGACACATCAAAAATGCCATTTTCATGATGACTGTGCGGTCTGCAATCAAAGTGCCTGAACGTCAATCTCAGCCTGCCATAAACAAACGGAGAGACTTCTGTGAAACTTTCTCAACATCTCTGTGCTTTGATTCCGTCATGTCCAAAAATGGTGATACTCGGCGGTTTCTGTGAAAAGGAGAATGGCTTAGAGCCACACGACATAGATGCTATTGGCTAAGATTGTTATTAAATATGTACAAAGAAGCAGAACAGAATGCTGGCGATCCAGGATGAGGGACTCAAATTGCAGCCCATGGACAAGCCGCCAGGCTCTGAACTGTTCCAGGCCAGACTATGCCAAGAGGTAAATCAACCACCTTAGTGAAGTGTGTGTCCTTAGGTCCCCTGAGGCGGTGTCTTTAGCCAGACATTTTCCAGGAAGAAAGCTGTTGGGTTTACCTTTGCTGCCGCCTCCTCTATTACTGTGGAGAACACTGCTAGAGGGAATGCCAGAGAGAGCAGGCATCTAGGGAAGGAAATTACCAGAAGTAACAGAATTAGATAAAGGAAAGGAGGGCTGCAGATAAACCAAGGACCCAAGACCAGTAGCAAGAATCAGAAACAGTGAAGAGTGTAATCAATCTAACTCCAAACCAAACCAGGCTTAGAAAAAAAAAAATCACAGAACACAGAAAGGAACAAAAGACATAAAAACTAAACCAATTTGTGAAAAGGTGTATTTTTGAGTGTATGGACTTTTGAAAAAAACAACCAAGAGAATGAAAGTCGATGTAGACTAAAACAGTACATTCAGTGAATGTAACAACAAAAAAATGCAAAGATAGATTCACACCCCTCAACGATCAGCCGAATCCAAAGGCTCAATCGCAGTGACCCTAACAGACATGGACTTGCACAAGGGATTCCATACCACGGGCATCACACTGAAGGAGCCTTGTCCAGCCTGACTTGTAATCAAGTCTTTTGATTTAATTGCCAGTTTACAGGAAATAAGGAGGGCGAGGGAAATGTCCATCAAGAGGTGCACGGAGAAAACCACTGATTATCCGTGTGCCATGGACGAGTACTCAGCAATGAACTGGAAGATGCTACCGGTGAAAGCTGTGACATGAATTAGACTCAAAGCAATAACATCACGTGAAGGGCTAAGCCAACAAGAGGACACACTCTGGTTCCATTCACAGCAAAATCTCGAGAACCGGCTGGGCTGTGGTGCCTGAAGACGGTCTCACAGGCTGGCTTTGAGGCCGCTCTCTCGTGGCACTGACCCTTCATGCGGCATTCTTGAGAAATCTTTGCCTTGCCAGTTAGCTTTGGGAATCTGGATTACTTACAGGGCCCTGTTCTTCTGTGTCTCTCCTGAATTCCAAAACTGCTCTCTCACTAGACTGCATTCTATCTCATTTGTTCCACCTAGTGAGGATTTTTAATTTGATGATATGCTGAAGCTGGATCAAGACATGGAAAAGAAGGAACCTATTTTCCTAAAGACAAACTTCTTTCTTGATGAACAGTACTCACGGGCATCATCTGAATTCACCCACCCAGTACATACTTACTGATCTTCTGCACAGTTCTAGAAGCTGCAGTTCAACAGTGCACAGGGCAGAAAAATACCTGTGCCCTCATATAGCTTGAATTCTTGTAGGGGCAGGGAGACAATGAAAAATGAAACATGTATATTAAATATTCTGTAATACAGCAGATAATGGTATAAACACACACACACACACAGTCTGTGAGAAGGTGACGAGTATTAAAATAGGGGAGAGAAGGTTAATAAGGGCATGGGGGCAAGCTGTGCTGTGTGTGGAGAGTGGTAAGCCTGTCGGGGCCCAGGGTAACAGTGCCATCGCCAGGGCAGGAGCCGCCAGGGCGGAATCTGGTGAAGAAGGGCTCCCTGGGGGAGACCAGCAAGCACCCGTCTCCAGCTGTCTGAGGCAGCGTAAGGGCTGGGGTGCAGAGGGGTGGGGCACAGGGGTGAAGAGGAGGGGCAGGGAGAGTACACGCTGCGCTGCGCTAAGGCTTCAGCTTCCCAGCCCCGGCTGTGGGTGGAGAACGGAGTAAGGGGAGGTCAGGGAAGGTCAGACGGCAGCAGGAACTCTGGTTGGGCAGCTGTGGCAAAAACCCGGGGAAACATGGTGATGGCTCAGGCCCAGCGCAGGGGCCCGGAGAAGCGGCTGGGCTGGGGGCCTGTTGGCGCGGTAAAACCAGCAGGATGGGCAGAGGGCCCTGCGTGGTGCAGAACATGCCGTTTGGGGCTCAAGGGGAGGTCCAGCCTGGAGAGTATATTGACCTTTGAGCCAACTGTAGGAAGCTGAAACACCTCTGAGGCCTGAGGGGAGCGAGGACAGGCAAGGGAAAGTAGTGCCCTGTGCGGCTGGGCACAGTGGGGTCAAGAACTGAAAGGGAGACAGGACCAGTGGAGAAGGGGGAGAGTGCGGCACCCCACGTGGAGAACCTGGCACAAAGAAGGGGAGCTTCGTTCCTGGAGGCCTGAGAAGTGACTGAGCAGCAGCAGACAGTGGTGGAGCTGAGTCAGGGCAGAATGGGCTTGAAGAGGGGCTCAGAGACAAGTAAAAGGCTGCGAAAGGAAGAGGCGGAGGTGGAGTCCAGAAAGCTAGTTTGAAGAGTTTTGCCATAAAAGAAAGGAGGCTCAGGGAGTGCTGGCTACAAGATGCTGTAGGTGGAGGGAGGCAAGGGGGGGGAGGGGCATTGTTGGGGTGATGTCCTGGGAGGAGGGGGGGATTTAAAGTGAAGAGAGAGGAGGGCTGCCTTTGCTAGGAAGTTAGGCAGTTCTGTAATAAAAATTAACAGAAGGCAGAACTAAATAGTATGGCCACGGGGTAGGTGGGGGCCTGGCAGTGGATCCCTGTGCAAGGTCTCTTTTGATGGGTTCATTATTTGCAGCAAAACAGGAAGCAAAACTCCTCCCCAGCGACAGTCCCAAAGCTCATTCTCACTTTGAAACATAAGTAATGCATGGTGGAGGCCGCCCTGGGGAGGTTATTACTCTGTCTCCCCCCAGCAGAGGTCTCTGTGACCCCAGGGAGCCCAGGACGGGCTGTCTTCCCGCAATTGCCTGGAGGATCTGCTGGGCTGGCGACAGTCAGCAGCCCTGCCTGCCCTGTGTCCCACATAAACGGAAACATCAGTGTGCACTTCTCTTTGGTCCTAAGTTCAGGCCCCTCCCCTGACTTCGAGTGTCCATTTTCTGTGCCACATGCAGAAAAATGAAATTACACCACTCTCTCTCATACCAGACACAAAAACCAACTCAAAAGGACTAATGGCCAGGATGAGGCTGGCATCCGTTACATACACCGAAGAAAACAGAGGAA